CGCCCACAAATATGCAGTCAATTCACTTTACAGTATATTCTGTGAAGCGCTTTGAGACGTCTAGAAGACGTGAAAAGCACTATATCAAATGCAAGTATTATTATTATATCAAATTATTATTATTATTATAGGATGTTACAGAAATACATTAGTATTCCAGTTACAATTCATCCCTATCTTTTCAGAATCAGAAGAATCTGGAGATGCTTGGTACATGGGTGGATGGGAAGGTGGCAGATACAGTTTAATACTTAATTCAGTTTAATTCTTAATAGAGAAACTCTAAACTATATTATCCTCTCAATTTGCTTAGATTAGTTGTAGAGATGCTTTAATATTTTTCAACCTCATTGAATAAAGAAAATAAACAGGGTTACTGTTACTGTTTAAAGAACTGAGTAGCTTTACAATACAATGTAGATATTGTTTCTAATAATTCCATGGGAACTTTAACGTCCGCCTGAACAGGTGGATGAGACCTCACTTTAACGTCTCATCCAAAGGATGGCACCTCTGACAATAAAGCATACACTCAGCACTGCATTAGAGTGCCAGTATAGATTATTTGAGTTCCAAGTCCCAACGCAGGGCTTGAACTCATAACTTTCTGACTCAGAGGCAAAAGTGCTACCAAATGAGCCAGGCTAACAGGCATCTAACCATACACAGCGGATACATTTCATATTTCATATTGGGATAATGATACAGGTATTTGTCTATACAGTTAATTGAAAAGTAAACAAACATCCACAACACAAATTCACATATCATTTACTTGCACAAAACATCAATTGGATGTGTTGCAAAACTATACAGACCAAATTCGAGCAGATCCAACAGAACGGCATTGATCTGGAAATACATTCATTATTTATGTTCCCTCAAGAAGAGAACAAGCTCAGATAAGTTATAAATAATTTGAACCCTTCATTTATGTAAGTAGATTTTGCTTACTTGTGTTCCCTAGTTGCATGTGGTAGAGCTTGATTATGCATGAAATCCGGTATGTATGTATCAGCAATTCACGAATAGCTTCTTTAAAATTCATTACATTTTCTTAGGTAATTAGTTCTGTTCCACTCTTCCTCCCTGTTGAATTGTAGGAGTTGGGGAACAGGAATTAGAGTGATTTATCCTGACATGATAATGCATAGGAAAGTAATGATACACAGGAGGGGTCTGTTGTTGGTCAGACTTTGTTAATATCTTCCAACACGCTCGGTATCACTCAGGCTTATGTCACCACATTGGGGTCTATCTAAAAAGTGATATTCGTGAAGCATATTTGTTATTACATCTAGTGTGTAAATATCAAACTGCGAGATCCCTGCAAGATTCCCAAAATGGTGATTCACAAATTGGTAAATTACACAAGAGGCCAATGAGCAAAGCACTAGTTGGGAAACCATTGGCTTTATTTCTCCATTTTGTAAATCTCACAATACAACAGTAAAACCTATTTACTTTGTGAATATAGTTTTTAAGACCCTTCTCCTCCATAGTGCTTAGGTTCATAAGAACATAAGAATTAGGAGCAGGAGTAGGCCATTCGGCCCCTCGAGTCTGCCCCGCCATTCGATAAGATCATGGCTGATCTTCTGACCTAACTCTAATTACCTGCCCTATCCCCATATCCCCTAATCCCTCTATTTTTAAAAATCTATCAGTCTCAGCCTTGAAGATGTTCAAGGACTGAGCATCTACAGCCTTCTGGGGTAGTGAATTCCATAAATTCACTACCCTCTGAGTGACGAAATGTTTCCTCAACTCTGTTCTAAAAGGCTGACCGTTAATTTTAAGACTGTGACCCCTGGTTATAGATTCTCCTACCAGAGGAAACAGACCCTCAGTGTCTACTTTATCCAGCCCTTTAAGAATCTTATATGTTTCAATAAGATCTCCCCTAATTCTTCTGTACTCTAGAGAATATAGCCCTAGTTTATTCAGCCTATCCTCAAAGGTCGGTCCCCTCGTCCTAGGAACTAACCGAGTGAATCTACGCTGCACTCCCTCTAGGGCAAGTATGTCCTTTTTTAAATAAGGAGACCAAAACTGCACACAATACTCTGGTGCGGTCTCACCAAGGCCCTGTACAGTTGCAGCAAGACTTCCCTACTCTTTACTCTAAACCTTTTGCAATGAACGCTAATATGCCGTTCGCCTTCTTTGTTGCTTGCTGCAAACTGATTCTTTAGAGACTGGTGTACAAGGGCACCCAAATCCCTCTGAACACTAACACTATCTAATCTCTCCCTCTCTGGAAAATAATCTGTTTTTCTATTTTTTCTGGCTGGCTCTTCATTCTGTTTTTCCACCTAACAACGTTACTGATTATGGGTAGTTCAAAGGTAAAGAGACCATTCCTATATTAACTTAACACAACTTAATATGAGTTTCTGACAGGTTCACAAAACTCACTGGACTTAATTAAAGGCCCAATGGGCTTTCTTATACTGTTACAGATAAACCTGCTCTCCCTTGTTCTTGTTATTCTGCACCATTCTTTCCCATTTACGCAGACTTGCATAAAGGCTATGCCTGCACAGTGGAAGCCATTAATGGTGGCAATCAACCTATTTCTTGAGAGTTTGAATAGCCATATAAATATTTGTGCTGTTTAGAAACATCAGCAAAACCCTGAGAATCACAAGCTTTACCTCCCTCTACAGGAAATTCTGGATCGTTTTTTTAATCAGTACAAGCTCCTGCAATTTTTGTTTTTTCCAGCTACACAAGAAGCACCGGACAATTTCTGTTCTTACAATTGGATCACACACCAAGAGTTTCATATACATCACTTACACATGGAAATTTCCCTGTGTCTGGAATGGAATGCACTCTCTCCCAAGAGGTACGCACTCTGTTTACCTAATTCTAGAGCGTACTTAGCTCAGGCTGAGAAGAGCCAAGGCTTAGGTAGCTCTAAGAGTGCATTGGGTTACTGCTGGAGCTGAAACTTTCATTCACACATTCGTCACCTCCCCCCAAAATTTTGCCAATGCCCACCTCACCATTCCCTCAACCCCACCCCAACACCCAAAGGATTAAAAACTCCACTGTCTACATTCTCACCCATACCAAAACTCGCCCCCCCAGTCTCCCCCCCACATCACGTCAATCTTCATGAGGTTCCATTGGCTCCCAATTTTAAGATCCTCACACTTACTACAGATCAACTCATACCCTAGCACCTCCGAACCTCTCTGACCTGCTTACATTTGTATAGCGCCTTTCACATCAGAAGACTTCCCAAGGCAGTGGACCCAGTCAGGGATCGGCACCCGAGCTGGTGGTTGGGATTAGGAGTGGAGGGTGAGGAGGGTAGGAGGGTAACTGAAGGCATGGTAGAAGAGGAGGGTCTTAAGACTGTTCTTGAAGGAGGCAAGGGAGTGGGGGAGGGGGGGGTGAAGGAACTGTGGGATGGAGTTCCGGAGGGTGAGAGAGGAGAGGCTGAAGGCCCGCCCGACAATGGTGGGGCTGGGCAAGGCGGGGAACATGAAGCAGGCCTGAGCCCCCTGAGCGGAGGGAGTGGGCAGGTTGGTAGGGGGTTAGGTGGTCACAGTTTTAGGGAGGAACAAGGCCATGGAGGGCTTTGAAGGTGACGACCAGGATCTCGAACTGTGTCCTGAGTGATAGGGAGCCAATGGAACTGGGTGAGGATGGGGGTGATAGGGTCACGGAGCCTGGTCGGGAGAGAACACGGGCAGCAAAATTCTGGGTGATGTGCAGCTTGTGGAGGGAGGTGTTGAGGAAGCAGACAAGCAAGGAGTTTGCGTAAAGTCTGGATATGATGACCATCTGGCAAGCTTCCTGCAGTTTGTCCAGCTAGAACCACCTTAACCATTAGAGTTTTGTTTTGCAGTGTTAAAAGGAGCTGAGTGGGATGATTCCCTGACTGGTCTGCCCTTCCAAGTCCTGCCGATGAGCCAGGCTGACTAGTCTGCAGACATGTAGGGCTCAGCAAACAACACTACCATAGAGGAATAACTTGATTCCAATATTCCGTTTTGAAGTATATCACGCTGGAGTGAGTTAAGCTCCATGAAGACCCTGCTTATCTTTCTACGCAGTAGGATAGACATGATGTTAAGCTGTGTGATTTACACAACATGAATGACATCAAGTGGTAGAAGATGGATATTACACCATTTGCTTCAAATAAGGAGGTTTACTTGTTTTGTGTGTTAAAAATCAAGAGCATTACCTAAAGACATGATTTGTGTATGCTAAAAGGGCTAGTATAAAATGAAAAAAAGATTAAAACTTTTGAGAATTAAGCAGCAATCCACACTGGCTCCGGCCTCCCATTGCCTCCGCTCCACCATCATGCTTTTCAGCCACTACACCCTAAAACTCTGTAACTCTCTGCCTCAATCCCTCTGGCTTGTCCCCTCCTTTCCCATCTTCAGATCGCCGGAAGACTTTCCTCTTTGATTGTCTTCTTCTTAGCTCCTTGTGACACCCTCCCAATGTGAAAGGCAAGGCATTATATAAATGCAAATTATTGTTGTGCCTAAATTACCTCCTCTCTTCCCAGCTCGGCTTCAAGCTCTGCCACTGTTAAGCGCTTCAAGATGCTATCCCGCATGAAAGGTGCTATATAAATGCAAGTTGTTATTGTAAAACCTGCACAGCTTGCCTTTTAAACGTATCATCTGACAAGCTTCCTGCTGCTTGTCCCAAGTCTATCATACTTAAAACAATAATCTATACTTACTGGAGGCCTATATTGTTGGGTGCTATTCTTCACACGAGAGGTTAAACTGAGGTCTTGACTGTCTGTTCACTTGGATGTTAAAGAGCCTGTGCACGATTCAAAAAGAGGAAGGAGTTTCTCCCGGTGTCCTGGCCAATTATCCTCCAATTGTTCAGTCACCTGTTCGTAAATTATTATGTGTGGATCTTTGCTGTATGCAAAATAGCTGCTGTATTTTCTGCAAAATGTCTTGGACATGCTTCAAAGTGATGAGGTGCTATAAAAATGCAAGTTTTTTTCTTAATATCTTCCATGGATTTCTTCCAATTTATTGAAACAAATTGTTCATACCGAACACACCAGAAAACATCAATCTAGGTAAACATTGAGGAAAACAAGATACATACAAGCGGAGGTTTATGTAATTTATTAAAGTACTTTTGTTTTATTACTTCTTGAATTTAAATAAATGTATTTATTATGATTTTACATTAGAATGATACAATTCCACAACCGATAAAAAGCGATTGAAAGATATCTGTATTAAGGCAAAAATGATTCAACAACAAACAACAACAAGTTGCATTTATATAGCAACTTTCGAGTCAGGAGGTCAACCCAAGACATCCCATTCACTAGAAATGAAAAACAGTCACTACACTTTACAGAAAATCCTGTAAAGCTCTTTCAGACATTCTCCCTATGAGAAATACTTCAAATGCAAGGATTACTATTAATTCAGCTTCTAAACTTGTACCATACAATTCTTAGTATACATTTGCAAAAACTTCAAACTGTGAGATTAATTATATTTGAGATCTGAGATCCAATACCATTCCAATTTATTGACTAGATCACCCACAAATTAACTTGACTAACTTCCAATTTAATAAATTAAGTATTTAAATTGTAAAGTATCTTTACATTATTTTCTTACTATTAGTTTAAGGCATAAATTTGTTCATAGAAAAATACAATTTCTGTAGTCTGATTTTCTAAAAATGTATTTTGCTTTGCAATAAACATTGACAATAGAATATCAGTTTCCTCCATATAAATATTATCAATGCTAGTTGCAGAGCAGACCAAGAGAATTCTCTAATGAATTAGAATCGAAGCACCCATTTATCTTACTTACCATCAGTGCTAACGTTAATGTCTAACGTGCTGAATAATCAGCTATTCTCTAGATAAGCTGATGGTTCACATGCTAACACTTATGTAGAGAATTCTAACCTGGTCAAAGGCAAATAGAGTGAGTGAAAATCTCAATTCTTCATCATGTTTGCTATCTTTTTAAAAATGTATAAAAATAAAACCTAGGCGAGTTGTAACAAGCCTGTTGTACACATCCTGTTGTAAGCATTAAGCACTACAGTATTCTTGAACAACGTTCAACATTTTGGTTTCTCCAAACAAATTGTCAAGATGGAGATGTTGCCCCTCCAACCCCCAGTATTGATGGGATAACCCTGATATAACAATGAGCTGTTGTCTATATGACAAACAGCCCGGGCGGGACAGCTCAATTATCATTCTACTTTACAGTTTGGATTTGCTGTATTTGCCAGTCGGTCTCATTTCTATCACAAAATCTTTCACCAACTCAGCAGCTTCCTTCGCTGTTCCCCAGTGGAATGAAACCCCGGCCCCACCATGGCCATAATTGTGCACCAAACACATTTGTCGCCCGCGGCGTTCTAGCTTCTCCTTCTCCAAACGCAAAACTGCTCTGGCTGGCCTCAGACCTACCGCTTCAAACAGCTTGGAAGAATGCTTAAGAGTCGGTTCCAAAGCACAACATCTTTCAAATATATCCTTGCTATCAAATGGATCTACTGACATTCGCCAATCATCGTTTTGCCTTGTTCCACCCACAACAACAGAGGAGATCCCTGGATAGATGTAACTCCGGCCATCATCTGTACGGATGAAGTGTTTCAGCCAGGGTGCATGGACCTTGTGAACCTGACCTCTTACAGGATGTATTTTTGGATCACCAGTAAGTGCTTTTGCTCCAATGCCACAACAGTTCACAATGATGTCATACTGGCCATCCAGTTCCCAGAAATCCTGGATTTTTGCAGCCTGCAATTGGCCTCCAGCATCCTTTAACCTGCAATTAATCATTCCAATAATTATCAATACATTGTTTCACATGTTTTATTGTATGAAGTCAATATTGCACTGGGTTTATTGGTTTAGGTGGGCATCATAGACTCCTGTATCTGTGAATTGGGCTTGGTACAATAAAGAGACCCAGTAGGAGAGACTGAATCAAAGGTTGCAGTCATTTTTCAAGCCTTATGTTTCTAGTATACAGAAAGTTCATCAATGAATTAACAAATTACATTTTAGCCACTGACGTGACCACACCCAGTGATTAATATTCTATGAGCTATCAGAGCATTATTTCAAAATGTTAGAGTGTTTTTTGAGCATCTAGTGGTATATCAAGGCAGATATGTAGGGGAACTTCTGTACACTGCAATCTGAATTGGTTTAGAGTTTGCTTCGAAGATTGGTAAAAAAAAATTCTATAAAAAATATAAAAATATTTTCTAAGTTGTGCAAGCCCCCACCTCCCAATACACACATAAAGCCCAACTTCTGCCACAGGTTTAAAGTTTTAGAGCTGTCAAAAAGAAGCCTCCCACTGTTAGTGGAAGGTCCAATACAGTTCTAAACTAAATGGCTTTCTTAAACAAAAATCAAGTTTCAGACTTCCAGTCAAGCAGCAGTCAAGGATGAGTAAGGAATTGATCTATGTTGCAAGAGCCAAGTCCATTCCCATGCTCTGAGAGAGAAACTAAACCATATAAACAACAAGGTAACAGAACTGGATAAAAGTGATCAAAATATACAGTCAATTCATGGTTCATGGATTGAACATTTCAGGAGGTGGTCACCCCAACAGCCACAGAGGGTTCAGAAGGAGAGTCAGTGGGTGACCACCCGGCATGGTAAGAAGAGGGGACGGGCAGTGCAGAAATCCTGAGACGGTGGCACTCACAAACCAGTTCTCTGTACTGAATACGGGTCAGGGTGATGATACCTCTGGGAAGAGGAGTCAAAAGCAAATGGATGCACAGGGGGACACAGGGAAGAGTATCAATGCAATTGTCATTGGGGACACAATGGTGAAAGGAGAAGACAGACGTTTCTGCAACCAAAGACATGACTCTCGCATGGTATGTTACCTCCTTATTGCCAGGGTTGAAGACATCACGGAACGGGAGCAAAACGTTCTACAGGGTAAAGGGTAACATCCAGAAGTCGTGGTCTACATTGGGATCCATGACACAGGGAAAAAAGGGCTGAGATCCTACAGGGGAGAGTATCAGAAGCTAGGGAAAAAAGCTAGAGTAGGACCTCAAAGGTGGTGATTTCTGGATTTCTCCAAGTGCTTCATGCAAATGAGTATAGTGAGTATCAAAACAGCAGGATCAAACACATGAATACATGGCTGGAGAAATAGTGCAGAAAGGAGGGCTTCAGGTTCCTGGATCATTGGGATAAGTTCTGGGGCACGTGGGACCTGTACAAGGTGGATGTAGCATTAGAGAGAACAAACAAGTTACATAGAGAGCTGGGTGAGATGAATAGCAATGTAATAAGGAGTGATCCAGAAAAAAGGAGGGATTAGACAGGGGAGAAATGCAGAACAGACTAAGTCGTCTTGGAGTGCACTTGCGTAAATGTGTGACAAATAAGATTGATGAGCTACAGGCTCAAGTTGCCACATGGGGTTATGATATAGTGGCAATAATGGAGACCTGGCTCAAACAAGGGCAGGAATGGGAGCTGAATATTCCTGCCTACAATGTATTCAGCAGGGATAGCAAAGGAAAAAAGGGAGAGGGAGGTGGCAATATTGATTAAAGACACGTTTACGGCCCTGGAAAGGGACAATGTGCCAGAGGGTCCAAAAACAGAATCTATTTGGTTAGAGTTAAGGAGCACAAATAAGGAGCACAAAAGGAGCTGTTACTCTGTTAGGTGTATACTATAGACCATCAAATAGTGTGAAGGAGATAGACGAGCAAATCTGCAAGCAGATTTCAGAAAGATGCAAAACCAATAGAGTAGTGATAATGGGGGATTTCAATTATCCTAACACAGACTGGCAAAATAACAGTGTAAAGGGCAAGGAGGGGGAAGGATTCCTGAAATTATGTGCAGGATAACTTTCTGGAGCAGTATGCTTCCAGCCCAATGAGGAAGGAAGCAGTGCTGGCTCTCGTTCTGGGGAATGAAGAAGGTTCATGTAGGAGAACATCTGGGCAACAGTGATTACAACATCATTGGGTTTAGAGTACTTATGGAAAGGGACAAGGAGCAATCAAAGGTGAAGATACTCAACTGGAAGAGGGCTAATTTCAGTGAGTTAAAAAGGGACCTAGCCAAGGTGGACTGGAAAGAAAGATTGGCAGCTAAAATAGATAATGAGCAATGGGAAGCCTTCAAGAAGGAGATAGTTCAGGGACAGAAAAATACATTCCCACAAAGGGGAAAAATAGGGCATCCAAACCTCCCTGGATGAATAAGGAAATTGGGATTAAACTAAAACAGGAAAAGGAGGTTTATGATAAATGCCAGGTCCAAAATACAGAAGATAATCAAATAGAATATAGAAAGTATAGCGGATAACTGAAAAAGGAAATAAGAGGGGCAAAGAGATTGTATGGGAAAAGATTAGTGGTTAACATAAAAGGAAACCCAAAAGTATTTTATAAGCATATAAAGAATAAAAGGTTAGTCAAAGGTAGGGTGGGTCCAATTAGGGACCAAAGAGGAAATAATCTTGTGGAGGCAGAGGGCATTACTTAGAAAAATATGGGTGAATAAAGGACAGTCAACACAAATTTGCTAATGACAAATCATGTCTAACAAACCTGATGAGAGTTTTTTGATGAAGTGACGGAGAGAGTGGATGACGTTAGTGCAGTTGATATCGTTTATATGGTCCAAATGCAAGGATTATTATTATTATTATTATCAAAAGGCGTTTGATAAAGTGCCACATAAGAAACTTGTAAACAAAATAGAAGCCCATGGTATTAAAGGGACAGTGGCAGCATGGATACAGAACTGGCTGGGAGACAGAGAGTGGTAGTGGTGGTGAACAGTTGTTTTTCTGACTGCAGGGAATGTGCAGTGGTGTCCCCCAGGGGTAACTATTGGGACCACTGCTGTTTTTGATCTATATAAATGACCTGAACTTGGGTATAGGCAGTACAATTTCCCTATACCCAAGTTTGCAGATGATACTAAGCTAGGAAAAGTAGTAAACAGTGAGGAGGATAGTGGCAGACTGAAAATGGACATAGGCAGACTGGTGAAATGGGCAGACATGTGGCAGATGAAGTTTAATGGGGAGATATCAAAGTAATGCATTTTGGGAGGAAGAATGAGGAGAGGCAATGTAAGCTGATGGTACAATCTTAAAGGGGATAAAGGAACAGACAGACCTGAGGGTTCATATAAGTAAATCTTTGAAGGTGGCAGTACAGGTAGATAAAGCTGTTAAAAAAGCACATGGGATACTAGACTTTATTAATAGGGGCATATAATACAAAAGTCAGGAAGTTATGATGAACCTTTATAAAACACTGGTTATGCCTCAGCGAGAGACTGTGTTCAGTTCTGGACACCACACTTTAGGAAGGATGTCAAGGCATTGGGGAGGGTGCAAGGGAGATTTACCGGATGGTACCAGGAATGAGGGACTTCAGTTATCAGGAGAGGCGAGAGAAGCGAGGATTATTCTCATTGGAGCAGAGAAGGTTAAGAGGAGACTTAATAGAAGTTTTTAAAATTATGAGGGGATTCAATAGGGTGAACAAGGAGAAACTATTTCCATTGGCGGGTGGGTCGGTAACCCGAGGACACCAATTTAAAATAGTTGTTAAAAGAAACAGAGGGGAGGTGAGGAGAAATTGTTTCACACAGTGAGTTGTTCAGATCTGGAATGCATTGCCTGACGGGGTGCTGGAAGCTAATTCGATAACAACTTTTAAGAGAGAAGTAGATAATTATTTGGGAAGGACATGTTTGCAGGGCTATGGGGAGAGAGCGGGGAAGTGGGATTGAATTGGATAACTCTTTCAAAGAGCTGGCACAGACACAACGGGCCGAATGGCCTCCTTCTGTGCTGTATAATTCTATGATTCATTTTACAGTATATTCTGTTAAGCGCTTTGAGACGTCTGATAAAGCGCTGTATCAAATGCAAGAATTATTATTATTATCGCAGCTGCAGAACTGATCATAAACATCATAACAGCTGAAAGCAGGGTAACAATAATAATAATCCTTGCATTTGATATAGCGCTTTTCACATCTTCTAGACGTCTCAAAGCGCTTCGCAGAATAGACTGTAAAGTGAATTGACTGTATATTTGTGGGCGAAATGCGGCAGCCAATTGCGCACAGCAGTGTCCCACAAACAATCGTGGATTGAAATGAACAATTTATTATTTTTTTTCTTTGAGGGATTATTATCAGGCAAGGAAACTTGCCCAAGGTTTCACCCTGCCGGGAATCAAACCCAGGTCTCTCGCTTGCAAAGCGAGTGCTCTAACCACTATAAGCAAAGCCTGAACAAGTGCATTGCAACAGGTTGTTAAAATCACCATATTAATTACAAAAAGCCCGCAATTTTGAAAAGAACAATGTTGGAAATCTCAGACTATTTTTCAACCACTTTCCAAACTGTATTTGACCAAATCACTGAACAATACTGAATTTTCTAGAATGGAAATCCTCAAGGTGTATATGTACACAAGCAACTACGATACAAGCCTTAGAATGCGGTAGAATGGAGCATCACAAAAGAAGGTAAAGATGACATATTTAAAATTATTTTTTGTATGAGCAAGTTTGTTCTTTAAGGCTTTGAGCATTTTTTTTAAGCACACAATATAAGGTATAATTAAATTATACAGAATTAAATGAAGTGTAAAAGCCACAATTTTAGGAATCCAATGGTTGAGGTCAAGTCCAGTGTGCCTTATTACAGGAAATTATATTAAAACCTTGGAAAGAAATGCCTTTTATACTGTAGGTTTATCATAATACAGTAAAATAAAATTTGCATTTAATATAGCACTTTTCACATTGAGAGGGCATCTCAAAGCGCTTCACAGGATTCACTATAAAGTGCAGTAACTGCATAAATTTGTAGGTGAAATCTAGACATTTTAATGTTTAAAAATTGAAATGTTGTCCCATAAGTACATTAAAGTAATATGAATAATTCTTATATTTGATACAGTACTTTGGATGTTCTAGAGGCACTTTACAGGATATACTGTGAAGTGCAGTGACTGTAGGCAAACAAGGCAGCCAATTTTTGCACAGCAATGTTCACAAATAACCATGAAGTGACCAATGTTATTTGAGGAATTGTTGGACAAGACACCGGAGAATCTCCCTTCTCTTCTTAAATCGCGCCCTGAGATCTTTCACTCCCACCTGACGAGCAGATGTTGGTTAACATAACATCTAAAGGAGACCCAAGTACTGCACAAGAGTGTCAGTCTAAACTATATGAATTCAAAGTCCAAATGTGAAGCTTGAACCCACAACATTTTGACTCAGTGGGGATTGTTCTACCAACTGAGCCAGGCTGACACATATTGTTGAACCAATGCATAATTGATCAAACCCAGACATAAAGACTGAATTCTGTTCATTAAAATTGAGAGCAGTCAGCATAGCTTAATTTCCCAAATTGACGACTTCTGAAATTGCCTGCAATAATTAGCTCCCTATGTACAGTACTGCAATTTCTCACTGTCCTTTGAGAACCTTGTAAGAACTATTAGTAACCATGGCCTCAGAGCTGAGACTACTCGATTATACAGCAGCAAGATATAATTTAATACAGCTCACTTCATCTACATGAAGATGGAAATAAATTCTTTCATCCAGAAAATTATTCAATTAGTAAGTTGCTTGAGACTGCATGAAATTCAGCGCCATTTGGTGCAGCTGGCGAATGAAGCCTCAAATTATTACACCACCTCTTATTCAATAAAGTAGTAACCTTTCAAAGTTACAGTAGCATTTACAAACAAGCAGGAACAAAATGGTAAAAATTATTATTGTGAACACTATAATGGAGTATTATAAAGAGTTGCACTTGATCCTAATTCAGCCATCTGTAATTTAGCAATATAACCAATAACAGCTTCAAATGTAATGTCACAATTGTGAGCATTGCAATAAAATTTTGAGCAATGAAGTCCATCAGTAAATAATCTAAATGCAACGTTAACTTATAAAAATATTCCTAGAACACAGAACCCATGCAATATTTTTAGGAGAAAGTTTAGCAAAACATATCTTCAAGTACTAATACTGTGTTTAATAAACACAGCTTGATAATCTGGGAGATGCTTCCCTCATTTTAGGGAACCAATTTAAACCAATTTATCTCGAGACTCAAAGTAACAATATAAACCTACTATTCTATTACTTTTTAAGCTCCAAATAATTTTGAGAGGACACAAACATTACATCCCAATGGTTTTCTTGCGTCTCATTCATAAGAAAATAGTGATTTAATTGTCCTTTACTTCTTTTTTCATAAATTATTATTGCTGGCCAAATAACAGTAAAGATTATACAAAATTCGGATTTAAGCAAACAGCCAAGCATGTAAAATGATGGCTAAAGATTTCTTGGACCTGTTAAAAACATAATGTAAAGCTGATGTGTCTGGGTATTTCTTTCTCCCCTTCCTAAGTGCTCCGTGACGCAACCCTGCGTGAACGGCGCTATATAAATGTAAGTTGTTGTTGCTGTCCAAAACCCTGACTGTCCTTGGGACGTCCTCCCGACGTGAAAGGCGCTATACAAATTTAATTTCTATTGTATTGTTGTTGTTCCTCCAGGAAGTCACTGACTCTTTGCTAGGCTATTGTATCCTCTGGTATTCCATCTAAGTAACATTGTTCATACCAGGCTGCTTTCCCACACTTAAAAGTTTTTCTTAACTTTTGACTGAGCTCTGTATAGATGTGGATATAGGATTTACAGAATAACACAGCCAAAATTCAACTACAAAGTGTGATTATTCTCGCTTAATTTGAAAAGCTTTAAATTCAGCCTTAATATCCAGTTTCATGCAGTCCTTTTTAAGAAATACAGAAAACTAGTTTCCAATAAGCAGTTGTTCCAAAATTCTGCAGAATCTTATATTTTAAGACAATGGTTCTTAAAGCAAAACCATGCAATATTTGAGGTCTCCGGAAGATTCTTGGAAAAAAATCACTCACCTTTTCTCCAACCAGGGCAAATAGGAGATACATTCACAAATCAAAGTGGTGTACATCCAGCCAAACTTGGCTCCTGTAAATCTCCTCAGTTCAACATCAGTCATAGTACGGAATCCCAGCACCATATCAGACCAGAAGGGAAACCGTTCCTTTGGAGGCTCCTTAAATATCTCCCACCTTGAGAAAGGGACGGAGACAGAAGATAGAAAAATTCTAATCACAATCAGAATTTACTCAGCACCAAAGGAAAACAAAAACAAGAGGAGACTCTTCAGCCCATCAAGCTTCTATCACAGATATTGGCAAATCCCAATGCCCCTTAATATCTCTATTACCCAAATATCTGCCGACCTTTCATTTAAAAATTTCTATTAATTTCTTCTCCTCAGTTATCTAGGGCATTGCATTCCACATCTTCACAATGCCCTTTATGAAGAAATGCTTCTTGACCTCAATTCACCCCTTATATTCATCCCTAAGGAATTTAACTACAGCCTACCCACACCTATACCCCCTCAACCCAGGTATTAATCTGATTAATTAATTTCCGATGCTAAGTGTGAAGAGGTCCCGGACTTCTTTACCTCCAAGATAGATAACATCCGCCTAACTGCTTCCTCCTCTTCCCCATCCATGTCGCCTATCACCCCACCATGCTTCCTTCACCACCCTCTGCTCCTACCATGGCCTCCACCCTACACTCTTTTGCCCCCATCTCTCCCTCCTCCCTTTCCCCCACCATCACCCAGATGAAGCCTACCACCTGCTGCCTCGAGCCCCTCCCCACCCAGCTTCTGGTCAGTCAACCCCACATCCGTTCCCTGATCAGGACCCTTTTTTTCCACCTCATTGCCCACCTCCTTCCGTACCTCACAGCCAACGCAGCTGAAACCCTCGTCCACTCCTTCGTCATTTCCCGGCTGGATTATTCTAATGCCCTCCTCGCTGGTCTCCCCAGCTCCACAATACACAAAATACAATTAATTTAGAACTCCGCCGGCCGGATTCTCACCCGCACAAAACCCCACCCCCCCATCACACCAGTCCTTGACAGGCTCCACTCGAAGGCCCCAAACGGATCGATTTCAAGATCCTCTCACTCGTTTTCAAATCCCTTCATGTCCTCACACCTCCTTACCTATCCAACCTGCTTAACCCCCACTCCACCACCCACTGCCTCCGTTCGGCTGGCTCCAACCTGCTGTTTCCCTGGTATTCTGGCCAAATCCTCCAGATACAATTAAATTCAACAACCACAAAATTACCTTTGTATAGCGCCTTTTACTTCGGGAGGATGTCCCAAGGCGCTGGACAGTTAGTGTTTCAGACCTGAGCTGGGGGTCAGGATCGGGGAGCGTAGAGGGCAGGTGGGGAGAAGGAGTGTCACCAAAGGCATGGTCAAAGAGGAGGGTCTTGAGATGGGTCTTGAAGGAGGCAAGGGAGGGGGGCGAGGTGGAGGGAATGTGCGATGGAGTTCCAAAGCGTGGTGGCAGAGTGGCTGAAGGCCCGCCCACCAACGATGGGGTGGGTGAGGTGGGGGACATGAAGCAGGCTGGAGTCCTTTGAGCGGAGGGAGTAGGCAGGTTGGTAGGGGGTTAGGAGGTTGCAGAGGTAGGGGGGAGAAAGGCCATGGAGGGCGTTGAAAATGAGGACCAGGATTTTGAACTGTATCCTCCGGTGTGATGGGAAGCCAGTGGAATCGGACGGGGATGGGGGTGATAGGGTCGTGGAGCCTGGTGTGGAAGAGGACACGGGCTGCAGAGTTCTGGATGATCTACAGCCTATGGAGGGAGAAGTTGGGGAGGCCGACAAGCAGGGAGGTCGACAAGCAGGGAGTCGTGCCTGGATGTTATGAATGCGTGTATGAGTGTCTCGGCGGCTTGTGATGTGAGACAGTGGTGGAGCCGGGCGATGTTGGGGAGGTGGGGGAAGGCAGTGCGGGTCATGGCACTGATGTGGGGTACGAAGGACAGAGGGTCAAACAGGACGCCGAGGTTCCGTATTGGCTCCGTCAGATGTAGAACACATCCACGGAGGAGATGTTTTGGGATACTTCTTTTACAAATACCATATAGTCAATATGCCTAAATAAATCCTGTGACATGATTTGAGATATCTCGACAATGCGATACAGTGCTTCTGCAGGCCGCTGAAACCCTCATCCATGCCTTCATTACATCGAGGCTTGACTATGCAAACTCATTGCTTCTCAGCCTCCCCAACTCCTCCCTCCACAGACTACAGATCATCCAGAACTCTGCAGCCCATGTCCTCTCCCTCACTAGGCTCCACAACCACATCACCCCCATCCTCGCTCAACTCCATTGGCTTCCCATCACACAGAGGATACAGTTCAAGATCCTGGTTCTCACCTTCAAAGCCCTCCACGGTCTTGCTCCCCTCTACCTCTCCAACCTCCTAACCCTCTTCCACCCTGTTCGTTCCCTCCGCTCAGCGGGTTCCGACCTGCTTCACGTCCCCCGCCTTGTTCGCCCCACTATTGGCGGGCGGGCCTTCCGCCACTCTGCCCTCACCCTCTAGAACTCCATCCCGCAGTTCCTCCGTCTCTCCCCCTCCCTCACCACCTTCAAGATCCACCTCAAGACCTTCCTCTCTGACCGTGCTTTTGATCTCCCTGCTTCCCCCCCGCCCTCCACCTTCCCCCACCCCGACCCCCAGATCGGGTCTATAACTCAGTCCCAACGTGAAAGGCGCTATGCAAATCTAATTTTGTTGTTGTTGTTGCTTTATCAAATGCAAGTTTTATTACTGTATTATTATTACTACTAGGATTGGCTTTAAAATTCGTAGTCGGGTGGGGGCAGGGAGAGAGGATGAAAGAAACTATACTGAATATATTGAATCATACTTCCAACTTCTAACTTTCTAAATATTGTGTTGCAAGTTCATAGAAAGAACACTTTAATATCTTGAGGATCTCCATTAACATCTTGAGATTTTTTTTAACATATACACATCAATATGTAACCACAACATGGTTTCTTACCCAGACAAGAATTCAACACCAATAATTGGAGCATCTGCTGACTGACCAATTGATAACACATGAGCGAAAGTGTCTCCAAACCAACGCTTCTGACAATGGATCGGTGTCTCTAAATATAATATAAAAACACAATCTTAATAAAGGGATTGTTGTCTAGCACAGCTGGAGAAACTCCCTTCTCTTTTCCAACAGTTCCTCAAGATCTTTAATGTCCACCTGAACAGACGGGAGCTCAGTTTAATGTCTCATCTGAAGGATGGCACCTCCAACTATGCAGTGCACCCCCAGCACTGCAATGGATTGTCAACCTATATATGAATTCAAGTCTCGATGTGAGGTGAGGCTTGAACACATAATCTTTGGACCCAGAGGCAAGAGTGCTACTATTGAACCAGGTAAAAATACAAGCCTACTGTAGGTGACAGCCTGGCGCCCTTTCACTTCTGTGTCAGAAGTGGGTTATGGGTTTAAGCCCCATGTCGGGACTTGGAATCAAGTCTATCCACAGAGGTTTCTAATCAGTTTTCTAATAATAATAATAATAATAATAATCCTTGCATTTGATAAAGCGCTTTTCACGTCGGGAGGACGTCCCAAAGCGCTTCACAGAACACACTGTAATGTGAATTGACTGTATATTTATGGGCGAACACGGCAGCCAATTGCGCACAGCAATGTCCCACAAACAGTCGTAGATTGAAAATGACCAATTTATTATTGTTTTTGGTTTTGGAGGGATTATTATTAGGCTCTGTATGGAGTAAGGAAACTTGCCCAAGGTTTCACCCTGCCTGGAATTGAACTCAGGTCTCTCGCTTGCAAAGCGAGTGCTCTAACCACTGTGCTACAGGTCTCCTGAATGGTCTGATGACTGGTTCAAATGTACAGAGGTACATTTAGCAAAGGTTTTAATGATGTTAACCTATTAAAATACTTTAATTGGGAGATGTGTAACAGGTCTTCTTGAAAATATTATAGTTTTTCGATTGAAATATGTTTGTTCAAAGCAAATTCTATCGGATGATGTCTAGATAATGTGCCTCAGGGTAAAGACGGTTGATAAGAACAGCTAATAATCTGTTGGTGTCACAAAGGCAGTAGCTTGTGTCTTTGATGAAAACTGTAGCTTGTAAAATCTCTTCTTGATAGCTGGCATACTGTTTGCTTGATGACATTGATTCAAGTATGTTTAATGCCTGTTGTGCTTTGGGAGATGGCTGTAAATCTGTGCTAGGCTTCAGTCGAACGCAGTCCTCTGCAGGAATTTGAACCAGGAGGAATGCTGACATGCTCCGTGCCACCACCCGAAACCTATTAATGTAACAAGTCCAGTGTCCTGACCTCAACCAAGCAAAAACTCAACATATGATGATGTAACATTCGTTCAAATGATCACTGAGTATATTACTTTTGCTGGCTATGGAGAGCAGGTTCTTGTCACAAATGAACTGTTGTGCAATTAGGTTTTAATGCAAATGCACGTTGTAAAATAGAATAATCTGCAATGTACAGGAACACAATTTGTCATAAAAAGGACGCTTTCTGATATGATTGTTATAGTCACTGCTATAAACAAGTTGAAGCCATTTTCATTCCACTGTCCTGTAAATGAAGTAGTGTAGACTAACCTGGAGAGAAGTGTGGGCTGAGAATTCCTGCAGCTATATCACTGGTGGTGTTTGGGGTAAACTTTTCTGCAATCACAGTGACAGAGCAATTTGGAATGGACTCTACAATACAAACAGCAGTAGATAAACCCACAACTCCAGCTCCGATCACAGCAATTCGAACCTTATCCATGATCTGAATCAAAAACAAAGTAGAGAAACATCATTTTTAAACAAGCTTCAAAATAATGAGAACAACTTGCATTTATATTGCGCCCTTCACATAGGTAGTGTCTCGAAATGCTTAAAATTATAATGAGAATCACAATGAGGAAATAAAGATCAGTACTACTAATAATAATTCTTACATTTGATTCAGTGCCGTTCATGTCATGTCTCACAGTACTTCACAGGAGTAATTGTAAACACATACTCTGTTTTTGTATGTATACACAGGGAGCCAGTTTGCACACAGCAATGTCCAACAACCAACCATGAAGTCAATGTCTAATGTTATCTGAGGAATTGTTGGCCAGGAAACTGGGAGAAACTCCCTTCTCTTTTCGAATAGTACCGGGGATCTTTAACATTCATCTAAACAGGCAAACAGGACCTCAGTTTAACATCTTACCCTAAGGAAAGCACCTCCAACAATGCAGTACATCCCAGCACGATACTGGAATGTCAGCCTAAACCACGAGCCCAATGATTACCCCCAGAATAAATAAACTGCTTTTACAAGAGAATGTTTTGGACCAGGAAAAAGCTTTACCCTTCAAATGCCACTTAACATAATAACCTCCCCCAAACCTAAATCCAAAATCCAGCAAACATGAAGGGCTCAGTTTTATTTTTTTAATTTACATCAGTGCCTTGGGACACATCCCAACGCGAAAGGCATTACATCAAGGCAATTTGTAGTTGTTGTTGTTAAATCAATCCCTTTTTAAATACCTAGTGTTAAGTTGGATGGATAAATTGGATGGACTAATGGTCTACTTCTCTCTTAAACTGTTACTAGGTTACTTCCTCTGCCTAAAAAAACGTTATCTGACTTGATTCTCTACTTGTATTAAAGTTAGTTAATCATATAAAGCAGCATTTTTTCTTTACTTAAAGGGTAATTAACATCTGGAACATGTTGCCAAGAAGGGAGGTTGAGGCAATACAATGAATACGTAAAAATCAGCTTGAGAGCTTGAGACTGTGATGGGAGGATGGTACGGTGGGTATTCTGGAGGAATGAGATCAGATGGGGCCAAGGGCCATCTTCATCCAAACTGATCTTGGGAAGTATAAAGGGCAGAACCATGATTGTTAAACTGTAAGCTGAAGCATGATGCCTTGAATACAAGATTACGAGAAATAAAGATTGTTTCAGGATGGAAATCAGCAATGAATGCCACATTGGGGGCATGCTGGATTATCAGAGGTCTTTCAGGAAAGATATTAAACCAAGGTTTGGTCAGTGTGTTCAGCTAAATGCTACAGATCCAATTGTACTATTAAAAAAAAGGGAGTTTCTTTTGGTTCCTGGTGAACAATCTCACAGACAAAACTAGCGATTTGCCCATAGCTGTTTGTGGGAATCTGCTGTGCACAAATTGACTGCCGCCGCGTTAATCCAAAATACAGTTATCACACATCATAGTAAAGTCATCACTGCAAAAAAAATGTTTGGATCAATTTTAATAATGCTTTTTGATATTTTGAAAATTAAAATATTAGAGATATCTTTTTTCTGAGGAAAGAGCCCTTATGAAAACCTATAATATCTTGTGAAACCAAGTACACCTGTTTATCTGTTTCTTCTGGTAATAATACATTTAAGGGACCATCTTTGTATGTGTGTGACGAATTGAGACCATTGTGAATAAGGAATAGGAAGAGAAGTATATTAATTAGACAGTTCTAGTGTTCGCACATTAGCTTTTCTTGTAATTTCTGGTTCTACAATCAGATTTGTTTTCTCTGTCTCTCACTCTCCAGTTTTGATTCAACATATTTAATTGGACTGTGAGTGTAGCTAGCAAAACAGTTCCTCTTTTCTCACTGCAGCCATTGTGAATTTTCATTTAAAAGTTAATATCTAACTCACTTGATTTACATTCAGGGCTGAAGTGCACACTCTAAGAGGAATTTAATTAAACAAAAAAACACAAGCCAATAATAAATAAATCCAAACCTAGCAATATGCCACAAATATCCACGAAGCGAATGGCCAAGTTTATCTGGGATCAATGCTATGAATGGGGAGAAATTCCATTTTCTCTTCAATACCCTGGGATCTTTAACATCTACCTGAATAGACAGACCAGACCTCAGTTACCATCTCACCTGAAGCATCCTCCTCTGACAATGTAATACTCCCCCAATTTTGTACTTATGCCTGTTTTCCTCCTGAAACAATCTATTTTCTAGCAAACATGTATTTGAGGGTTGTGACACCCAACTCCATCTCTCTTTTGACTCCAGGACCATTGGTGTTCTAACCAATTGCATGTCAGACATCAAGTCCAGGATGATCTTTAATGGTGGCAAGACAGAAACCCGCTTTGCCTCCCATCAGCGTCTTTTGTGGCAATGACAGTATTAACCCGCATGGATGCACACTCCACCTCACTTAGCTGGTGTGGAACCTGTGTCTTGTTTGACTCCCAATTGTCTTTTAAGCTCCACATCCGTCTTACACACTCGGCTTTCTCATCTCCGAAACACAGCCCGCCTCCATCACTACCTCTCTTTCGGACCTCTGCTCATGGCTTATCCATGCCCTTATCAAGTCCAGGCTAGACTAGGCCTATTCTCTGATCACTGGACTCCCCAGCTCCTTCCTATACAAGCTGCAGACTAACCAGACCTCTGCAGCCCATGCTCTCTCCTACTCTGGGCTCCGTGACCCTATCACCCCCATCCTCGCTCGACTCCACTGGCTTCCCATCACACAGAGGATACAGTTCAAAATCCTGGTCCTCACCTTCAAAACTCTCCATGGTCTTGCTCCCCCCTACCTCTGCGACCTCCTAACCCCCCCACTTTCCTTCCTGCTCCCTCCGCTCAGCGGGATCTGGCCTGCTTCACGTCCCCCGCTTCGCTTGTCCCACCATTGGCAGGTGGACCTTCTGCCACTCTGCCACCACCCTCTGGAACTCCATCCCACAGTCAATGGAGGGAGGAGTTGGGGAGGGCGACAAGCAAGGAGTTTGCATAGTCAAGCCTCGATGTTATGAATGCATATATGAGGGTTTCGGCGGCCTGTGGTTTGAGACAGTGGCGGAGCCGGGAGATGTTCCAGAGTTGGGGGAAGGCAGAGTGGGTCATGGCACGGATGTGGGATAGAAAAGATAGTTGAGGGTCAAACATGATGACAAGGTTCCAGACTGGCTTAGCAAAGTGGAGTGTGCAACCATGGATGGTGATGCTGTCAATGCTGAGGCGTGAATGCACTGACGGGTGTCAATCAGGAGAGCCTCAGTCTTGTTGACATTCAAATGAAAAAAGTTAGCTCTCATCCAGGACTTGATGTCTGACAGACATTCCGTCAGGACAGCAGTGGTCCTGGAGTCAAGGATGTAGAGTTGGGTGTCATCCGCATACATTTGGAAGTTGACCCCATGTCTGCGGATGATGACTGCAGAGGAGACTTGACCTGAGGAAAGCTGCATGAGATGGTGCGGAGGCTGGAGGAGAAACTGTTTGTGGAGATGAAGTGGAGGCAGTGTGAGAGGTACGATCTGAACCATTCAAGGACAGAGCCGTGAAGGTTGCGGTGAGGGGAGAGGCGGTGGATGAGGATAGAGTGACCAACGGTTTCAAAGGCAGCATAGAGGTCAAGGAGGACGAGGAGTCAGAGGGAGCCCTGGTCGCAGATGGACAGAATGTCATTTGTCACTTTGACCAGGGCTGTTTTTGTGCTGTGGGCGGCACCGAAACCCAATTGGAGTGGGTTGGTGAAGGGAGTGGAGGAAGGAGCGAAGCTGGGAAACGACGACTCGTTCCAGGCCCTTTGAGAGTAAAGGGAGGTTGGAGATGGGGCGGTAGTTTGAGAGCAGGAATGGGTCCAGGGAGGGTTTTTTTAAGGATAGGATAATATTGCTTGTTGGCTCATATACAGTGAACGGCGCAGTACCAAATGCCAGGACAATTATATCATTAGAAAGCCATCGGGAAGCTCCGCAGACACGGTGGGAAATTGGTTTCATGAGGACGATTGGGGCCAATCTGAAATGAGACAATCAGGACTGAAGCTTTAGTTGTGTTATTGCTGTGAAATAAGGAGCTCTCCCTGCTCTGGGGCTGGGTACCACTGCACCCCCCAACTCCCACTGCCCCCCCACTGCCCCCTCCCACTGCACCCCCCCAACTCCCACTGCCCCCCCCACTGCCCCCTCCCACTGCACCCCCCAACTCCCACTGCCCCCCCCCACTGCCCCCCCCCAACTCCCACTGCCCTCCACCCCACTGCCCCCCCACCCCACTCCCACTGCCCCCCCCACCCCACTCCCAATTCCCCCCCCACCCCACTCCCACTGCCCCCCACCCCACTCCCCACCCCCAACCCACTTCCACTGCCCCCCCCCACCCCACTCCCCACCGCCCCCCACCCCACTCCCACCCCCCACCCCACTCCCACTGCCCCCCCCCACCCCACTCCCACTGCCCCCCCACCCCACTCCCCCCCACTCCCACTGCCCCCCCCACCCCACCCCCACCCCACTCCCCCCCACCCCACCCCACTGCCCACACCCACTCCCACTGCCCCCCCCACCCCACTCCCCACCCCACTCCACTGCCCCCCACCCCACTCCCCACCCCACTCCCACTGCCCACACCCCACTCCCACTGCCCCCCACCCCACTCCCCACCCCACTCCCACTGCCCCCCCCACCCCACCCCACTGCCCCCCCCACCCCACTGCCCCCCCACCCCACTCCCCACCCCCCACCCCACTCCCACTCCCCCCACCCCACTCCACTGCCCCCCCCACCCCACTCCCACTGCCCACACCACCCCACTCCCCACCCCATCCCCACCCCCCACCCCACTCCCACTGCCCCCCCACCCCACTCCCACCCCCCACCCCACTCCCCCCACCCCACTGCCCCCCCCCCACCCACTCCCACTGCCCCCCCACCCCACTCCCCACCCCACTCCCACTCCCACTTCCCTCCCCCCACCCCACTCCCACTGCCCCCCCCCCACTCCCCACCCCCCCCACTCCCACTTCCCTCCCCCCACCCCACTCCCACTGCCCCCCCACCCACTCCCACCCCCCACCCCACTCCCACTGCCCCCCCCCACTCCCACTGCCCCCCCCCCCACTCCCACTGCCCCCCCCACCCCACTCCCACTGCCCCCCACCCCACTCCCACTGCCCCCCCCACCCCACTCCCACTGCCCCCCACCCACTCCCACTGCCCCCCCCACCCCACTCCCACTGCCCCCCCACCCCACTCCCACTGCCCCCCCCACCCCACTCCCACTGCCCCCCCACCCCACTCCCACTGCCCCCCCCACCCCACTCCCCACCCCCACCCACTCCCACTGCCCCCCCCACCCCACTCCCACTGCCCCCCCCACTCCCCACCCCCCACCCCACTCCCACTGCCCCCCCCACTGCCCCCCCACCCCACTCCCACTGCCCCCCCACCCCACTCCCACTGCCCCCCCAACCCCACTCCCACTGCCCCCCCCCCCACTCCCACTGCCCCCCCCCCCCCACCCCCACTCCCACTGCCCCCCCCACCCCACTCCCACTGCCCCACCCCACTCCCCACCCCACTCCCACTGCCCCCCCCCCCACTCCCACTGCCCCCCCCACTCCCACTGCCCCCACCCCACTCCCACTGCCCCCCCACCCCACTCCCACTGCCCCCCCCCCCCACTCCCACTGCCCCCACCCCACTCCCACTGCCCCCACCCCACTCCCACTGCCCCCCACCCCACTCCCACCCCACTCCCACTGCCCCCCACCCCACTCCCACTGCCCCCCCCCGACCCCACTCCCACTGCCCCGCCCACCCCACTCCCACTGCCCCCCCCCCACTCCCACTGCCCCCCCACCCCACTCCCCACCCCCCCCCCCCCCACCCCACTCCCACTGCCCCCCCCACTCCCACTGCCCCCCCACCCCACTCCCCACCCCCCAACCCACTCCCACTGCCCCCCCCACCCCACTCCAACTGCCCCCCCCACTCCCCACCCCCACCCCACTCCCACTGCCCCCCCCCACTCCCCACCCCACTCCCACTGCCCCCCCCCACCCCACTCCCACTGCCCCCCCACCCCACTCCCCACCCCACTCCCCCACCCCACTCCCACCCCACTCCCCCCACCCCACTCCCACTGCCCCCCCACCCCACCCCACTCCCACTGCCCCCCCACCCCACTCCCACTGCCCCCCCACCCCACTCCCACTGCCCCTCCCACCCCACTCCCACTGCCCCCCCCGACCCCACTCCCCACCCCACTCCCACTGCCCCCCCACCCCACTCCCACTCCACTCCCACTGCCCCCCCACCCCACTCCCACTGCCCCCCCGACCCCACTCCCACTCCACTCCCACTGCCCCCCCACCCCACTCCCACTGCCCCTCCCACCCCACTCCCACTGCCCCCCCGACCCCACTCCCACTGCCCCCCCACCCCACTCCCCCCCCCCCACTCCCACTGCCCCCCCACCCCACTCCCCCCCACCCCACTCCCCCCCCACCCCACTCCCACTGCCCCCCCACTCCCACTCACACAGTGCCTGAGCCTCGGGGGGGACGGGGGACGACAAACCGTCCGCACGACCGTCGGTTCCCCCTCCACCGACAGCGCCACCTGTCGCTTCCCGGGTAACTGACACTGATGACGACGGGTTGACTGAGCGGGTCACCGGGCGGGGCCGAGCTTGCGGTACCAGGTCCCGACCACAGCCACCAGGGGGCGCTGTGCCTGGGGACAGGGGAGCACAGCGTCAGCAACAGCAGCAGCAGCAGCCACTGGGCGATTGCATGAGGTTAACATCTTACTGCTGAGGTCAAAAGTGGGGGATAAGGAGAGGGGGGGAGAGGGGTGGGGGGGGGGGAGACAGAGGAGAAGGTGGGGGTGGGAGAGGAAGGGATAGAGGGTGAGGGTAAGGGGGTGTTCAGGGTTGAGGCTATTTTATGATGGGTTCCCAGTCACCACCCTCCTCCATGTGGGTGTGAGATGGCAGTGTGGTTCAGTTGGTTGCTCACTTGCCTCTACCGCTGCAAGTGTTCAAACTCCCCATCAGGACTTTGAGCTCAAAGTCCATCGGTGCCGATCGAGCGCCGCATCGTCACGGGTGCCGTCCTTCAGGTGACATGTCAGGCCAAGTCCGCGAGGAGAGCCGTCGTGACGTATAACCTCGCGGTGTTGAAGGAGGACGGTGCTGGCAGTGTCGGGGAAGATAGGGGCAGAGGGACCTCAACGGTGGCGTTAAAACTGTGGTCTTTGCAAAGGATTCATAAACGCTGAATCCTGACGGTAACTACAAGCGATCGCTGAAATACATGGTCGCTGCTCCCAACGTGCTCAGAAGTAAATTGATTCAGAGTTCCTGCTCGTGTAGTGCGCACATACCCGATTACCGTCAGGATTTAATACTTAGAGCAATTTAAAAATATTTTGTGTCTTTCGTGTTGGGAGGACACATCAAAGGGCCTTGCTGAGGGGGGTGAAGGGGGAATTACTAAAGGAGATAGGTCTTAAAGCAGGCTTTAAGAGTGGGGAGGGAGGCAGAGGGACTCTGAGATGGAGTTCCAGAGAGCGAGGGCAGATTGGCTGAACGCTCACCCACCGATGGACCTGACCGGGCAGGGGGCATAAAGCCGGCCACTTTTAGTTGTGCAGAGAAAGCAGCTGAATGGTTAGGGTTGCAACCAATCCTTTGGGAATTTTCAATCCCCGCACAATCCTGACAGGTATACAGTTTCAGTTTGATTCAAAAAAGAAAATGAACGATTTATGACTTAAATCAAGCACGGATTACACAGACTGGGTCAAAGCTGACACTACGATGAATGTGCCTTAATGCCAGCTGCCTGTTGTGTCAAGCAAGCATAAGATAGAACTGAAAATAATGGGAACCAATATTTCCAAAATTTGCTTCTAACTTCCCAAACTAGAAGTTACTGCCACAACTTCAAAGGACTATCTCCAAAACGTCAAAACGTTTTAGAGGAGCCGTTATGTTTATTATGAAGACTTAATAAATAAAGAATGCACTTGAGTTATCCGATTAAGAATTGTTTAAACCAGCAAAATGGAAAAGGAAGTACATTTGTTGTTCAGAGAAGTCATGGAAATTTCCAAATCTTTCTCCTTTCTAGTTCACATAGGCAAAATATTTAGAGTTTATTGGTTATTAAAATGGATCACAAGACCCTTTATCAAGTTTGCAACCGTGTGTGGGCAGTTTGAAAGCAACCTCATTAATCTGACATAATAAATCTATCAGGTTGAATAGTTAAAAGTGAAATTGTCAAACATTTGTTTCCAAAAAACATTTGCAATAAATCAAAAAGCAGTGTGTTGCTGCAGTGTACATAACCTACTCATTGACATATCTGCTTTTCAAAGTAGGCTGTTCACAAGATTATTTTGGATGAAGAAGGCCTTTCAGCCCATATGATCTTATCGTTTCACCCATCCTATCTTATCGAACACCCACCCTATCATCTGCCTATCACAACGTCAAGCTGTTTTTTAAATGGATCAAGTGTCCTGGCTTTAACTACCATTCCTGGCAACCTGTTACTGAAAAAGGCAGTAAAACACAATGATTGAACCTTTAACCCAAAGGTTGACTAATAATGCTCTATTTTGTTATGATTGTAAGCAATATTTGTTCCCATTGTCCCATTATTTAAGTTATTTTATGCTTACTTGACATGACTGCCAGCTGGCATTAAAGATGTGAAAAGTACACTCATTTTACTTTCTCATCCTAGTGTCAGCTTTAACTCAGTCTCTATACTCTGTGCCTGATTTAAGTCATAAATCATTCATTTTCGTTTTTGAATCAAATTGAAACTGTATACCTACTGACTCAGGATTGAACAAAATAAGCTTACAGAATATAATGAAGCTTCCCATTTCTAATAAGAAAGCAATCATGGAACAAGTTCATTGAGCCCCCAAACCTGTACCAGCTTCAGGAGAAAACCTCCACCAGTTCATCCATGACAAAAACAACAACAAGATTACACTTGTATAGCGCCTTTCACGTCAGGAGGACGTCCCAAGGCGCTGGATAGTATACAGCATTTCAGACCAGAGCTGGGGTCAGGGGGGGGAGAAGGGAGGGGAGGGGAAGGGGGGTGACCAATGGCACGGTCGAAGAGGAGGGTCTTGAGGTGGGACTTGAAGGAGGCTAAGGAGGGGGCGAGGCAGAGTGATTGGGGGATGGAGTTCCAGAGGTTGGGGGCAGAGTGGCCGAAGGCTCTCCCGCCAATGGTGGGGCGGGTGGGTCGGGGGATGTGGATCAGGCCGGAGCCGGCTGAGCGGAGGGAGCGGGCGGGTTGGTAGGGGTCGAGCCTGGAGATGATGAAGGCATGAACGAGAGTTTTAGCGGCCTGAGGGGTGAGGTAGTGGCGGAGTCAGGCGGTGACATCACCAAAGTGCATGTAAAAAGAACTCTAATATTCCATGCTGTTTCCTTTTCTTTCAGGGAATAACCAAGAAGATAGATACATTCTGAAACCACAAATGCTAAGTTCCCAGTTAATGACAATAATTTGATTTTATAAGAAATAAGAACTTGCTTAAACTCATTGTCTAGTCTGGCACAGTGCAAGGCGGAGATGCTCCTTGTTAATGAAATATTAAATAGAGATCCAATCTTTCTATTTTTTAAGTGGGTGTTAAAGATCCTATAACACCATTCAAAAAAGAGAAGGGAGTTTCTCCTGGTCTGCTGGCCAACAATCCTCCAGATTAATTACTTGTTCATCTCGTATCTCTTTATGTCACCTTGCCTTGCACAAATTGCTGATCCGTTTGTCAACAAAAGCTGTTACTACATTTAACAGTAATAACTTGTGAAGTACTTTGAGAGAATCTCACATGGTAAGGTTTCTATCTAATAATACTTGCTTCAATTGTGAACACCCTGTTCTACAGAATGAAAGTGACAATTATAACATACACTACGTTTCTCCCGCTGTTACCAGATATATGAGCAGAGAAAAGCCAAGAGGATTTTGTTTGCACTTTGTGATGCTATTAAATAAAGTAACAACATGTAAGAACCACATTCAGCAATGCAATGATTTTCTAATTAGATTTTGCTGATTTTCAAAACAAAGATTTGCAGTGGAAAGAAAATAGTGTTAACCTTTTGTACTGCAGGATTTTGCTTTACTTGCTCAAGCTGTTGTGAATTTCAAAGGCAGCTGGCATCAGCTCTGTTCAGATATGTCGCTTCTCAACACTTCCTCTCACTGGCTTTTCATAGAATATTCACAGTGTTTGCAGAGTCTTATACTGGGACATAAATCTGTGACTCACTAAAAGATAATGAACCAGCAAGTTCTACCTGCTCTTTATTTATGCATAGGTTTACCTTTGGATCTGAAATCACATGGCTAAAAGCAAAGTCTCCTTGTCGTCTTGCATTTGGTTTCATAGCTTTTAAGTTTGTAACACTGTTCAGGAGGTATTTGAGTTACGCCAGGGGTGACTCAAACCACCACTGTTTTTGAAACCTTTGGCAGTTGCCTTTGCGAGCAAACTCTGGCAAGCCTTTCGCTGTTTGTCCAGCTAGGACTACCCTACTCATTAGGCTCTTAACTCTCAGGGTTAACAGGAGCTGAGTAAGAAGAATTCCTGCCACTGCTGTGGTTCCAACAGCCTGGAAGCAAGCAAATACTGATCCCATGTTCAAGAAAGGTGTCAGAACTATACTTGATAAACTTGGTAAATACAGACTCAATTGCCTGACCTCAATAATTGGAGAATTGATGGAGTCACTCATCAGAAAGGAAATAGAATATCACCTGTATAAAATAATCTAATACATGACAGTCAGCATAAAATCAGAAGAGGTTGATCTTGTTTGATCATTAGCTTAGACTTTTTTGGAGGGGACATCCCAGATTGATTGTACGGAGCCAAATGGTGTCTGTACCTGGAGTTCCAAAAGTTAACAAAGGTCACTGTGTCATACGGGAGCTGCCTGGGCAGAGGTACAACAGGAGCAAACAACAACAACTTGCATTTATATAGTGCCCCTCACGTGGGATAGTGTCCCAGAGCAAAGAGAATGATCCCAGTGGAATGAACTATGAGCAATGGATATACGTTCATAAACTTGACCTGGGCCAATAGATATGTGCGGCCACAATTTTCCCTGGAATCCGCTACAAACACACATCCTCTGCTACACCCTCCTCCACTACACATCCTCCTCTGCTACAAACAAAGCCTCCACTACAAACACCCTCTCTACAAACACTCCTCTGCAAACATCTCCCTCCTCTAGAAACAAACTTCGACCCTCCAATTTGCTGTTCTATTATAATGTACTACAGTAACACTACCCGTTAATCTAAGTTAGACTTTAACTCACCCCAAACTGATTGGAACCAATATTTCCAGCACTGCACTGGTTCAAAGGTGGGAGACATTTTGCAATATTCTGAAACTTATTTTTGCACCTTTGTCGGTATCATATAATTTTCCCCTCACCCCTTCCCAGCTTCTTTGACCATCTAGTCCTGAAGCTCAATGGTTAGAACCCTTGCCTCACAAGCGAGAGACCTGGGTTCGATTCCTGGCAGGGCGAAACGTTGGGCAAGGTTCCTTACTCC